ACAATTTTATTAAGAATTCTTTAAAAATTCCAAATTTTATTAGAATTTACTATACTATTTTAAGTTTTGATAAGAAATATTTCTAATAAGATATTTTTTTCTTTTATTAGTCTGAAGTATAAGCAAAGGATTATATATATCTTTATCTATTTATATATTTATTTATCTACTCAAAATATAAGTTAATACATAGCTAGTCTCTTTTATTATACTTATATTTTAAACTTAACAATAGTTTTTAAAACTATTCTTTAGTATAAATACTAGTTTTATAAAATTAAATAAATTAAACTTAATAGTAAGTTTTTTACTTTTTTTAAATATATAAAAAATACATCATTTTATTTTTTTAATTATAAGAAGTGTCAGTTTTATAAATTATATAAACTATATGAATTAGACTTATATTAAGAATTTTATTTTCATTTATTTGTTTTTTTTAAAATATTTTAAGAAATATTTTTAAGAAAACTTTTTTATTATAAAATATCAGTATTATAAAATTATATAAATTAATAAGTTTTCTTATTTCTTTAAAAAATACTTTTAAAAAATATTTCTAACAAAATGGTTTATTTTTTTAACTTAAAGCATTATTTTGTGAAATAAATAAACTGGTCTTTTAAAGATATATATAAATTTTTATTAATTGAACAAACCTATTTAATTTATCTAAATCTACTACTATTATTATTTTATTTTACTTATTTTATTGTTAATAGTTTAGGTATAATCTTAATTAGTTAAATTTTAACAAATAACAATAATTTCAATGTATTTTAAAAAAATAAAAAAATATTAAAAAATGTTAAATAGATTTTTTTAAATTAATTGTATATTATTTTAAAAATAAATTAATAAATTTTTATTAATAGAAGTATAGTTATTAATATATAGCATTTATATATTAATAAATATATTAATAATATTATTTATGTATTTTTTAACAACTATTATTTTACTATATACTATTTTTTAACATTTAAATTGAGTTATATAATGCATTTTTAAATAGTATTAGTTAACAAAAGATTTTTTACTCAATACTTTTAGTATTAATTAATATAATATTTATTAATACATTAAATATTAATTAAAAATTTTGTGATATAGTTATAGATTTAAACTTATATATTAGTAAATATTTAATAAAAATTAATAATCAATTATAGTTTAAATAAAATAAAAACATATATTATAATTAAATTAGATGCTAATCATAATAAGTAATAGAAAATCAAAAATATAATTAAATAGATAAATATAATTTTTATTTATTATTTTAAATAATAACTTAAATTTAACTGAAAAAATAATTCTAATTAAGATTGCTTGTCTAAACTCATTTTATATTTGATAAAATATCCAAACTTTAATTTTATTAATTTTTATTAAGGATTTAATATAATTTTGCATTTTTATAAGTTTTGATATAATTTATTTTTTCTAGAATGTTGCAGATTTTTTAATATAATTTTATTAAATTTTATCTTTTATCATTTAGATAATCTATAAAACCTTTAAGTTTTATTTAACAATTTTAATTCTAATTTTAAGAAATTACATTTTAATAATATTTGGTATATTTACATTTTATAATACAATATTTGCTATATATATAAAAAATGCTTTAATTGTAATAAAAATAAAGCTTAACCTAAGTAGTAAAGAAAAATTTAAATAAAATAATGTCTAATAAATTAATATAGTTGATGTATCTTTTAAATTGTAGATCTAAAGAAATTTGTTTAGTTTTAAAAAAATATGAATTATAATTAAAAAGAAATATAAATTATATTTATTTAATTATAAAAATATGTAAATAATTGTTATATAATTTACTTTTACTTCAATCAGATTTTAATTTAAAAACTATTAATTAAGAAAATTATTAAAGATAATGATCATAAAGTTATCTTTTATTTAAATTTATTATAAGCTTAATTTTATTAAGATATTTTAAAATACTGCCAAATGATATATTTAAAATAATTATAATTATTCTTTTAAGAAATTAAGAAACAAATTTTGAAATATTAAATTTAATTTTTTTTAAAATAATTAGAAGTTATAAAATTTATAGATGCATATAGAAAAGGATTAATAATTATAGATGTATTATATATTGTAAAAATTATAAGTCATATAGAAAATTTTTGAGATATATTTTAAATAAAATTAAAAATAAAAAATATTAGATAGTCATAATAAATAATAAGAATCTTTTAATTATTGTCTAATAAAATTTATTTTATATAATCATATTATAAGTTAAAAAATTTAATTATTTGATTACAAAATAAAAAATTAGTAGTTTTAAATTGTTTATATTATATAAAGTATTGAATTTTATAAAGAATATTTAATAATATATAATAAAATTAATATTTTTATATTATATAAAAGTTTATTAGATTTTAATAAAATATAATAAATCTTTTATTGAAAGTAATTAATTATAATTTTTTAAAAATAAAATATTATTAAAATCTTAAAATATGTTTATATATAAACTAATATATTAAATAATTTTATATAAAGAAATTGAAAAATACATATAAAATTATTACCTATACTTTATAATTATAAATTTTAAAAATATTTATTTTTATTTTAATATTTAGAAATTATAATTGATAAGTTTTCAAATAAAAAATTTAGAATAAATTTTAATATAATTATTAATTTAATATATAATATTATTTTTAATTAATTATAGTATTATAATTTATAATAAAGTAATAGATTTAAAAATAAAAATTATTATAATAATATATAAAATTTATAAGTATAATAATTTTTGATTTAAATTTATATTATTTAATGATCTGTTAACTTCTTTTATATCTATATTAGTAACTATATATTTTTATATAAATTGTAAATAATTGTAATATTATAAATAATATTTTATTTTATAAATTAAGTAATAAAAATTTATAATTTTAATTTATATAAAATATTTATTAAATATATAATTATTTAATAAATTAAGATTTTTATTATATTTTAAATTAGAATATAATAAAATTTAAAAAATTTTCAGAATTTTATTATATATTATTATTATATACTATTATTATTTATAATAAATAAATAATTTAATAGAAGTTTAATATTAGAAATTATTAAAATATAAGTTTATATAAATTATCTAAGTAATTATAAACTTATATAAATTTATAAAATTTGTATAAATTTACATAAGTTAGATTAAGTATATAAAGTATAAGTTGTATAATATTTTTAATTTTTTAATAGTTTATTAGTATTAACAATTTTAGATATTTTATATTATTAAAATTTATAAAAATAAAAAATTTATATTTATAAAAATCAAAAGTTTTGTTTAGTTTTTAATATGTAATTTAAATATTATAATTCTTAATATAACTTTTATAAAATTGAAACTTGATTTGAATTTATTAAGTTTATTGAAAGATTAAGCAAAATTATTTATTATAAACAATTAATTAATCATAAATATACTGAAACTTAAAAAAAATTATATAATTTATGCCTTATGAAAATTTGGAATGATAGTAACGTGTGTAACGTGATGTTTCACGACATTTTTTTCATTCAAATTTGTCGATCGTTGAATTTTTTTTTGGTGTACTAATACCGTATATTAACACGAATTTCCGACGGGTGTAACATTTACATTTCGCATACTAAATATTTGTTGTTTTTAATAATTTTTTTTTCCATGGATGGTTTATGAAATTCGATTCTTTTTTTTTTTTTTTTTAAGAAGTATAGAATGGCTTTATGGAATTCAATAAAATTTTTTTTTTTAAGTTGGGGGCATGTAATACAAGTGTATACAATATGCACATACATTGGTTTCGTGCTGCAGAGTGATAGGATTAGTATATTTTCACTTATGTATTACGTACAATTTCAACCCCCCATAAGAAAAAAATTTCGTCAAACCACAAAAAAAAATTTTATCAAAGAAATCATAAAAACATTCCTGCATAATTTAAAAATGAGTATACATGTGTGACTTGTAGATATAAATTCTAACATTTATGTTGCACTATCATGATGTATCATCTGTATCATGATGCAAAACATGCTAATCATATAACACAAATTGCTTAATCTTATATAAGACCATTTTTGGGAACAAATAAGAGGTTTTTCCGGAGTTAAAAAATTCGACCAGAATTTAGAAATTTTTAGAAATTTTGTGAAATTTTTGACCTTTTTCTCTTATAATTTCATAACTCGAATAACTATTGTCCTTATTTAGGTTTTTATTGTTTAGTAACACATGAGTTACTGCAACCTCACACTTATAATATTTATAAATAATAACCTATTAAATCGAATGAATAAAAATAGGAAAAATTTCTTTTGACCGTCTCCTGTTTCATACAAAAAAAAACTCTTCTTATTGTTCAATAACTTTTCGTTTCTTTCATGTGTGACAGATATTTATAACGGACCATTTACTTTCATTTTATGCTTCATTTAAGTAGAACGTAACACCGTTATGTATTTCTTTGTTTGACATTTGAAACTTGCGACCATCTCCTTCAAAGGATAATGAAACCGGGTTTCATTGATACAATGAATGTTAACACAAAGAATAAATTAATTGGGAACTTTGGGACAGTTTCATCCTTTGATATTTATAGCACAAAACAAAAAAAAATTATTGGGACTTACGATCCAAAAATAGCGTAGAATGTTGTCAAATGGTTAGTCCAATTTCTTTTACATATTGAACGTATAAAGTTTTTCACCAATCATGAAAATACAATTATCAATAACCTTTATGACACTAAAAAAAAAAAATAAATAAATAATTTGAAATTAAAAAAACATTTATGCACTCCTATCTATAAAGAAAGCCATTGAGATGAATCACAAGGTAAGTTATAAACGGAAAAAAAAGATTACAATTTTATATAAATAAGTCTGAGTTTTGACCTTGAATAAATTACAAAATTCTAAAATATAATTAAAAAAAAAAAAAAAATAAATAAAATATGCCTAGTAGAACTGACCCTATTCGTGGCGCCATCTCTTCAAGGGAGCGAAGACAATTAAGAGATTCTTTAGAATTTTGGACCGAATACATCCAGATGACACTGCAGCGATTAAGAAATATACCAAGGCCAAGTCCAAGTATATCAAGGTCAAGTCCACCATGGCCAAGGACACCAATGTCATCGCCATCTCCGACGCCACCATCGACTCCACCATCATTTTCATTTGAAAAAAAAACCTCTACGACGTCAAAATCAATTTAATAAAATCCGCGTCGACGAGGAAAAAAAGACAACAATTCACAAACAAATAAAATATCTCCCCCCACAAATAACCTCACAAACATAAAAAAAAAATTTCCCATGATATCCCCCCACAATAATAAAAAAAAATACACAAAAAACCCTCACAAATGAATAAAAAAAACTCAACTCAAAAAAAAAATATAAAGTCGACCTCTTCTCCGACGCCAACAAATAAATTATTAAATACAATCCGCGCCGACGAGGAAAAAAGACAACCAA